AAAGAGTAAATAATTAAAATAGATAGTGATTATAAATTTACATTAATTTTTTATAAGTATAATAATTTGTTTTCCTTAGATCTATTTTAAGAAAAGGATCGAGAGAAAAAACTTATGTAAGCTGTGCAAAAAAGGGTTAATTTGCAACTATGCAATGAGGTGAGGGGTTAATTTGTGCCTATTTTTAGTTGAGGGGTTGATTTGCCATTATTCACTGAGTATAGGGGTTGATTTGCCACAATTCATTGAGTACAAGGATTGATTTGCCTCTTTGCCTTTTTTTTAGATTTGAATTACTCTGGTTCAATTTCAATGTATTAGTCAGTGCCATGGTTTTAAAACCCAGCCCGGCTCGATCAAGTTCAACTGGTTCAACCGGACCTAGGCATAAAAACGAGTCAGTTTCATACATTAACCCGTTTTGAAGGTTAATCCGTTCAAATCCAGTTGGCAAAATACCCAAATCCACCCCCAAAGTATAGTGGTAGGGACGGATCTACCATCGAACCAAAAACGGGGACAAATCCACCCACAAAGTTTTCGACTTGGACAAATCACTCTAAATTTAACGCGTGACGTCATTTAACATCAGCAATTCATTAATTCGTTAACGGATTGTTGACGTCAGATGACGTCAAATTAACAGATTGCTGATATCAAATGATGTCACACGTTAAATTTGGAGTGATTTGTCCAAGTCGAAAACTTTATGGGTGGATTTGTCCCCGTTTTTTGTTTGAGGGTGGATCCGTCCCTGCCACTATACTTTGGGGGTGGATTTGGGTATTCTGCCAATCCAGTTAACCCATTAAACCCGGCCCAAATACCCAACCCGTTTCACCCGCCGATTGAACCTGCCATCTCCTTTTTTTATTTTTTGATGTGATTTACCTATTTTATCATATCTTTTTAATGATATTACATAAACAACCTTAACTTTACACTTAAATTAAATTAAAAACGCTAATAAGTAGGGATTATTATGTAAACAACATGGGAAAAGCAAAATTAGAAAGCAGGAACAGAAGCAAAATTGCAGAATTGCAATCGGGCCATCGGCATCCCTCTCCCTCATCCCTGCTCCATCTTCGTGAGTCCGTCGGCATCTCCACCGCCGAACAGAAGCAGTAAGCACTTAATCTCCCTGCTTCACTTCCGTCGGCATCTCACTCACCAGTTCTCCACCGGCTTCATCTCCTTTGCTGAACTGAACATCAGCAACAAGTATCCTAATCTCCCTTCATCTCCACCGGCAGTTCAGCACCTCTCCTCTGTGGGCAGCATCCTGACAAAGCTCACAGCCTCACGCCTCTGCCACTCATCTTCCACTCCTTTACCGACCCAAACAGAAGCAGCAAAGCATAACAAATCGTCCTTGATTTTGCTCACATCGCCACCTGATTTTGCTCACATCGCCACCTGATTTTGCTCACACCGCCACCACTCATCTTCCTCTCCTTTACCAAACCAAAAAGAAGCAGTAAAGGAAATAGATCGTCCCAATAGAGGTAGTCCATGACTCCGTGACTCATTCTCTCCTCTTTGGCATTTGATTTAAGTGAGATTTTTAGCTTTTACCTTGAAATTCATTCTCAAATTGACATGTTTTACAAGTTTATTAATTGTTAATAGAAATTAATTCTTTATTAATTAGTATTGGTGTAAGATCTAAAAAAATTATGTTTGAAATAATGAATATCAATATTTGATGCTTGATTTTATTTTTTTTTTAGTCTGTTATGCTTAATTTGTTATGCCATGATTTTAAATTTTAAAGCAGCGTTTTTAATTTAATTAAATTTTTATTTATCATACTTGGATTTAGAGGTTTTTTAATAATTTTATATATTTGTGTAAATGATTATTTTGATGAAGATGCTCCTCGTTTAGGACAAAACAAATGAATTAGTAATGTTGCCTTATTTATTTGACATTTATCTTTGTTATGGATTTAATTTGAGACTTTCTATAATATTCAAAGTCTTATTTTGTAGTGAATTTAATTTAAAATTAAGTTTTTTCTTATTATAATGTTTTAGTGAACTTATCTTATATTATGTATTTTAATATTTATTAGTTTAGCTCTTAAAAATCATTTATATTTAATTAAATTTATTATTTTGAGTTTCTTAAATGATGATTTTTAAGTTAATTTTGTAGTGATTATTTTTTAAGAATAGAAAATATATATATATAAGAGTAAGATCTAATAAAAATATTAAAAAAATGATTTTTTTTAAATGACTGATTGAACCGATCAATTGAATCGGTTGAGCTGGTTAAACTAGACCCGATGACCAAAACGAGTCTACCACCGAAACGAGTCTATCACTGGGTCGAGTTTTAAAACATTGGTTGGTACACCAAATTTCAATCGAAACACTAAAATTTAGTCAAATTATCCAATATTTGACTGAAATGAAATTCAAACCCATACTATTTTGGTCAACTTACTTAACCAGTATGTATCGGCCGTTCCAACTGGTACAGACAACTATGGTATAAACTCTTGATTTGATCCAACTGTTTATTAATTTAATCCTAAGTTAACCCTTCCATTAAAAAATAAATGACGTGTACATTATTTAATGGTAAAAAATTATTATTTAACTATTACATGCTATATTAATAATAAGACACGTCATCTATTTTTATATAAAATAACCAATTTGGATTCAAATTGATAAATACTAGGGACCAAATCAAGAATTCATAGGGACTAAATCAAAAAGTTTTTTAATTTAGAAACCAAATTAAAAGTCCTACAATAATTGAGGGAATCAAATTGGTAATCTGACCTTTTAAGTTTTAACTCTCCACGGTTTTGTACCATCCGTTGCACCTACGCATTTTTCCTTTATGCGATAAACACTCTAAATTAATTTTTATTTTAATTAATACATTTTTTTATTTAAAACTTATGAAAAATTTAAAAATTAATAATCAAATTCTTTATTTATATCTTAAATTTATGGTTAAATCTTCAATTTATACTATAATTTCGCTGATAATTTAAAATTTTTATAAAATTTAAATTATAAAAAGTATTGATTAAGATGAAAATTAATTTAAATTATTCATCACAAATAAAGAAAATGTATAAGATACAAATAAGATTTGGGCTTTTTTTAAATGAAGAACCGGTTCAGACTTCAAACGCCGGCAGCTTTACTGATCTGGAAATTTTTTAAGTGCCGTTTGATTAACTTTTTAAATGTAATTAATAGTTAATAATAATTATTTTTTAATTTAATTATAATAAATTTAATTAAATTTTTTATTTTTAAAATATAATAATGACAAAAAAATTTAATTATTGTTTATACAAATTAATTAGATTTCTATATAAATTTTATATTTTAAAAATTAAAAAATTAAATTAATCTTATTAAAAATAAATAAATAAATATTATTTATAATTAAAAATATATAATTCATTCAATTAAATTTAATAACGGATAGTGGTGAATCAAACTTCAAACCAAAAAAGGCTGAAATGCCAAAAATGAATTTTGTAACAAAATAGTCCTTACACATTGAAAAGAACCAAAACGGTCCTTGAACGTTCACTTTTTGTACCATCTTGGTCCTTCTGTTATCGTTCAGTTAATTTTCCACTAACAGAGCCAATGTGGCAAAGTTAATTTTCCACTTTTTGTAGTTCTTTTTGTAGTTTTTTTCTTTTAGAATTTTAAAAGCTTGATGAAAGAATAAAGTTTAAAATTCAAAAAAGTGCCTAGAGAGCCAGCTTAGAACATTAAAGTTGACTTACATGCTTAGAATTTAAAAAATGTAGCTTTGGCATGGGTGGGAGAATCATACAGTATTAAGTCAGTTTGGACTTTAAAGTCAGCTTAGATGAAGTATTTAATGTTCCAATGGTTAAAATATTTAAAAATATTGAAATCTTCAAACTCTAATTTTTCTAAATCAATTTAGACTTTTGAAATCAGTTTAAAAGAGAAGCAAAGCAGCTTATCAATCAAATCTGCAACTTTTTTTCCTCCAACCTCAAGAGAGTTGCAATGCATTTAATATAGTCTACAGCTAAAAGCCAAGTTTTTCAACCAGATAAATATGGTTAATAGAGGTCTTGAAGACAATTCTTTTAAACACTTATATAAAATCTCTTCAACTACCAATTTGAGCTATCACTCGGTATTAACCTATTCTCTTCCACTTTGATTTGTATATTTGATCATTAAATGATCTTTTCTTATATTTCTCTATTTATATTTTTTGAGAGACATCTTGGCGTATAATTATTTCTTTCAAAAAGGGATATATAATGAGAATTCTTAGATTTACATTTTAAAAAGGTGAGATTGTGAGAAATCTCTTTCTTGTAAAAAGATTAAATGGGTTTTTTAAGCCACCATTGCTCTTTAAAGTGACAAATATAGAGAAAATTCTTAGTAAGTGAAGTTAAAATAGAAAATTAAGTAAAAAGTGACTGGACGGAATCTTTATAAAATTAATTGTGCAATCTATTTTCCCTTTTTTTCTCTTTGATTTTCATTTTATGGTGCTAAAGAAGAAAAATTTAAAAACTTCATTTCACCCCTCTCAAAGTACTTGAACCAACATTAAAGAAATTGTGATTTCTAATTTTTCTTTAGTAGAATCTCTCAATATTTAACTTTAAGAGAAAGGCGATGGTTGAACATTTGTAAAGTTAAATCAATCATTCTCATTTGCTCCCTAAGCATAAAGAGAGAAGGGAAAATTCAAAAAAAAAAAAAAAAAAGACATTGTTTTATAATAATGAAATTGTTTCATAAAGAGCGTAATTTCTACTAACAACAAAAAAACTTTAGATCTACTATAATAAGAATAATAATAATCAAATTTAAAATTTAATTTTCATAACTAATTTTTAAAATTCATTAACATCCCCTCAAATTCAAAGTGATTTAACTAGCTTGAGTTTGCAAATAAAAGAAGTGTTCACATTGAATCCATGGTACATCAATAATTCTTCACAAAAATATCTTTGAGGTGGGACTACTTAAATGCAGAGAGGATATGAGAAATCTTGAAGATGAATCCATGACCTTGAGAAAATCTTTAAACGAAGAAACTAATCAGAACAGAATCCCGTACTATCAAAGTAGATGAGCAAAAAAAGGGTTAAGTAGTAATAAGAAGAAGTAATCACAAGGAAGAGATGAAAAGCACAAAAGACCTAAAGGAGAAAAGAATTTTTTTTTCTTCCGTTTTTTGGAAATGGGAAGCAAGCAAATCAAAAGAAAATTGATGGTTTGATTTTGGTTCATACTACATTTGAAATTAC